TCCTGCTCCTGTCCTCTGGAGTCTTGGCTATCCCTCCCAATTTGGTGTCGTCTGCAAACTTGATGATCATGCCTTCTAACCCTTCATCTAAGTCATTAATAAAGATGTTGAACAGGACCGGGCCCAGGATGGAACCCTGCGGCACTCCGCTCGCCACTTCTTTCCAGGATGAAGAGGAAGCATTGGTGAGCACCCACTGGGTTCGTCCATTTAACCAATTACAGATCCACCTCACCGTAGTTTTGCCTAGCCCACACTGGACTAGTTTCCTTGCCAGAAGGTCATGGGGGACCTTGTCGAAGGCCTTACTTGTTTCAACTTAGGTTTTATATCCGTATTACGATTCATTTTAAATTATTTAAGAAACTTCTATAGCCCTTTGATGCCATATGAGAACTTATAAAGGGCTTATAAAGATTCAGATAAATTAAATGAAATATTCACTCAGGAATCATTCTACATTCATGTTCTGGATAGCTATTCTATATTCTACAATGCCAAACAATATAAAGGGTGGACTTCCTTAATTTCTCATTGTGCAGTTTTTGTGCTTTACCAGGTGGAAGTAGAATAAGAGGAAATTTCAGGTTGAAAATGAAGAGTTTCCAGTCTTTTCTGCATGAGCAAATTCCCGACACTGCCTGATTTCTCTGCCCTTGCCTGAAAAAAAGGGAAGACATTCCACTCCACAGAAAAGTATTATATGAGCAACTATTACTTCAGTCCTCTAATCCCCTGCTTTCATTGAGCGCCCACCTGCATTCTACTTTCCAGACTGTGCTTTTTGAAATTTAACCTTTACCATTCCTGGAACTTCAATTACATCAAAGTCCTGAAATAGGAAAGCCAAGAATTATTTTCTAAATGTCACCTTCTGCTCACCCACTCATTCAAGCCATTTGTGCCACTCATGCACTCATTCAAGGCGCTCCATTCAAGGCATTCATTGAAGGGAAATTATTACTGGCAGAGAGGACTGAGTGTAAGGATACAAGAAGAGAATCCAGAAAGGGATTATTATTTCAGTGCCATTAACTTTTTATTTCCTGGCTGGCTACAGTTCGGTCAGCCAAGAATCCAGCTGACCTCATCAATAGAAAAACAGTCAGTAAAACTCAACATTATCTCTGTGAGCCTGATTACTAAATTCACTAATTAGTTTGGAAGGAATATCTCTACGGCAATCAGGAGACATACAACAGATTCAATAGTTCATCTGAAAGCAAGAGTATTTTCCCCAAGGCTGAAATCACCAAATACAAAGAAAAGGCCATATCTATGCTCCATGCGTAGCGGATTTTATGACACTGTAAGTGTCACATTGTCCTTATTCTTGAAATCCATGGAACCACAGTTTGGTAATGGAGTTAAGAATAATAGGATCTTTAGCCTCACCTTCCTGAATGCACAGTCCCAAAGTTCCCAAGGGAAAGGGAATGATTATTAAACCAGTTTGCATATGTAGTCTTGGATATGCCAATAAAACTGCTAACCATACTGGGTGATCTGCGCTGGGAGCTAGACATGTTGGTTTGGCTGGACCTCTCAGCGGACTTCAATACCGTGATCACGGTATCCTTCTGGGAAGCCTTGCGAGAATGGGCCTCGTGGGCACTGTTCTGCAGTGGCTCCAGTCCTTCCTAGAGGATCGTTCCCAGAAGGTGTTGTTGGGAGACTCTTGTTCGACCCCACAACCATTGTCTTGTGGAGTCCCACAGGGTTCAATACTGTCTCCCATGTTGTTTAATGTTGTGACTCAGCTGGAACCACAGACACAAGTCATGCCAGACTAATCTGATCGCTTTTTTCGATAGAGTTACAAGATGGATAGATGCGGGGAATGCCATGGATGTAGCGTACCTGGATTTCAGTAAGGCCTTCAACAAGGTCCCCCATGACCTTCTGGCAAACAAACTAGTCCAATGTGGGCTAGGAAAAACTACGGTGAGGTGGATCAGTAATTGCTTAAATGGACGAACCCAAAGGGTGATTCTCACCAATGCTTCCTCTTCATCCTGGAAAGAAGTGATGAGCGGAGTGCCGCAGAGTTCTGTCCTGGGCCCGGTCCTGTTCAACATCTTTATTAATGAGTTAGATGAAGGGCTAGAAGGCAGGATCATCAAGTTTGCAGACAACACCAAATTGGGAGGGATAGCCAATACTCCAGAGGACAGGAGCAGAATTCAAAACGATCTTGACAGATTAGAGAGATGGGCCAAAACTAACAAAATGAAGTTCAACAGTGACAAATGCAAGATACTCCACTTTGGCAGGAAAAACGAAATGCAAAGATACAGAATGGGGGACAATGCCTGGCTCGAGAGCAGTACGTGTGAAAAAGATCTTGGAGTCCTCGTGGACAACAAGTTAAACATGAGCCAACAATGTGATGTGGCGGCAAAAAAGCCAATGGGATTTTGGCCTGCATCAATAGGAGCATAGTGTCTGGATCTAGGGAAGTAATGCTACCCCTCTATTCGCTTTGGTTAGACCACACCTGGAATATTGTGTCCAATTCTGGGCACCACAATTGAAGAGAGATATTGACAAGCTGGAATGTGTCCAGAGGAGGGCGACTAAAATGATCAAAGGTCTGGAGAACAAGCCCTATGAGGAGCAGCTTAAAGAGCTGGGCATGTTTAGCCTTCAGAAGAGAAGGCTGAGAGGAGATATGATAGCCATGTATAAATATGTGAGAGGAAGTCATAGGGAGGAGGGAGCAAGCTTGTTTTCTGCTTCCCTGGAGACTAGGACGCAATGGAACAATGGCTTCAAACTACAAGAAAGGAGATTCCATCTGAACATGACTCAGAACTTCCTGACTGTGAGAGCCGTTCAGCAGTGGAACTCTCTGCCCCAGAGTGTGGTGGAGGCTCCTTCTTTGGAAGCTTTTAAACAGAGGCTGGATGGCCATCTGTCAGTGGTGATTTTAATGCAATATTCCTGCTTCTTGGCAGGGGGTTGGACTGGATGGCCCATGAGGTCTCTTCCAACTCTTTGATTCTATGACACAGACTGATAATGTTGTGACTCAGATGGGGTCTCAAAGTGACTCTGATGAGAATGATGGGATTCAGGTTCACAATCAGGTTCAAAATGTTCCTGTTGTAGACAATGAGGAACAGGGTGTGCAAATTCAGTTTCCCACAGCAGGGAATGATGTTTGTTGATACTGAAACTAGCCAGGTGCAGGTGCAAATTGACTCAGAAAAGGAGGACAGTTCTCAGCCTGATAGTAGGCAGGAAGGCAACCAGGCTGACACTAATGAGCAGCCTGACCTTGATGAAACGGGAATCTTAGATCGGGCTGACCGTTTGGAATTCAGAGTTTGAAGGAGTGTGAGAATAGCCAATAAGAAGGAGGTCAGAGGCCAAAGAAATGCTTTCATGTATTGCAAAGGGTATTAAGCAGTGTGTTTGAAAACAAACCTTTGTCAGAGCAACTTCTCACTCAACCAAGCAGCTTGTGCTCGTTTTCCTGTGTCCATGGTCTTGGGATATTCTCATGGGATTTTGTTTCGTTGGTGCCATTTGGAATTCTGCTTTACAGTGCTATGTTTTATTGATCTTTAGAACACTACTTGCTTTTTAAACTTTGTATCTTTTACTTTAAATAAACTACAAAGACTTCAGTCGTGTGCAGTTCTGGTGATTTCAGCAAGGTGAATCTATTCTGAGGTGCAACATTTAACATCTACATGAAGCCATTGGAGGAGATTATCCAGAGTTTCGGGGTGCAGTGTCATCTGTACACAGATGATGTCCAACTCTGTCACTCCTTCCCATCTGCTACTAAGGAGGCTATCCATGTCCTGAACTGGTGATTGGCCACTGTAACGGTCTGGATGAGGGCAAACAAATGGAAACTGAATCCAGACAAGACAGAGGTACTGCTGGTCAGTCGTAAGGCCAAACAGGGCACAGGGTTACAGCCTGTGCTGCATGGGGTTATACTCCCCCTGTAGGCACAGGTTCGCAGCTTGGGAGTGATCCTGGACTCATCGCTGAGCCTGGAACCCCAGGTCTCGTTGGTGACCGGGAAAGCATTCACACAATTAAAACTTGTGTGCCAGCTGCGCCCGTAGCTTGGGAAGTCTGACATGGCCATAGTAGTCCACGCTCTGGTTACATCCCGTATAGACTACTGCAATGCTCTCTACGTGGGGTTGCTTTTGAAGACTGTTTGGAAGCTTCAAACGGGCGGCAGCCAGGTTGCTATCAGGAGCAGCGCTCTTTGCCTGCGACAAAGAACTTGTGGGATAACAAGCCAGAAAAAGTTACAGAGGATGAACATGTCAAGCTACTCTGGGACTGCTGGATTTAGACTGACAGAGTTTTGGAGCACAACACTCCTGACCTCATGATCATGTTTAAAAAGTATTGATTGTTGATGTTGCAGTCCCAGGTGACAACAAGATTGAAGAGAAACAACTGGAAAAGCTGACACAATATGAGGATTTAAAGATCGAACTGCAAAGACTCTGGCACAAGCCAGTAAATGTGGTCCCCGTGGTGATCGGCACACTGGGTGCAGTGCCTAAAGACCTTGGCCTGCCCTTAAATACAATCAGCACTGACAAGATTACCATCTGCCAGCTGCAAAAGACCACCTTACTGGGATCTGCACGCATTATTCGCCAATACATTACATAGTCCTAGACAGTTTGGAAGTGTCCGACATGTGATCCAATTCAACAGCCAGCAGAGTGTCTGCTGTGGATTCATCTTGTAGTGTTTCAAATAATAATAATAATAATAATAATAATAATAATAATAATAATACTTAGAAACACAACAAGATCAGTACACAGCAAACTATGCTGGCTGTTGTATTGGATCCGTTGGTGAGCACTCTTTGAGTTCAGATGCTGTGTTGTAACCTTCTTGGTCTGTAACCTATATACATTTGGATATACGTTTTACTGGACTCAGTGGTATTTTCCAGTGTTTTGATGAATGCATATAGGATGTCGTAACCAACATCATTTTTAAATACTTACTCAATAAAGTAGACCTCTCCCTTCTCTGTATAAGCCATCTCCCAGTTGTCAGGCAAAGGGCCCAATTCATCATTTTCTTCAGGTTTTGGCTGCTTTGTTATATCCATATCTTCCTTTCCTTCTTCAGGCTGGCTATACACAGGGGCGGGGTAAGGCTGAGAGGACATTTCACCTGAGGCACCTGTACTCTTCTCTTCATGTTCACTTGATTCTGCACAAGAATAAACATGCGTATCAATACTGGTATGTCCCTCCTATGCACTTTACATATCAAATGTGGTGAAATACATGTAATTTAGTTGCAATGTTAGGGCATTACACATTTGGAACAATGACTGTGAACCTATGGATCAGAATGAAATAAATATTTGGTTTATTTTTTTTATATAAAACATGACAGCTTCTTGTTAAAAAAGTGACAGAGTCATCTATGCTTGTACCTTTAGGATAGTAGAAGGAGCCAAGGAAGATAAACCATTGCTGAGTTGACTAAGGACCTTATCAGATGGGCAGGGGGGAAGGGGGAAAGCGGAGGGAACTGTCCTCCTTCGTTCCCTACCATTTTTCTCTGTCTTCTGGGAAGGCCTCCCAACCCATGTTGTTCCATCCTTTCCCTGTTTCCTCTTCTGTTCTCCAATTAGGAGTCAAGTAACACCCAACTCCTCCAAAACCATCCATGGTTCTGTTTCTCCATGCTGTCAAAGCAGAACTCATGGAATCCCGCTGGGAGCTGCCCTGTGTCATGTGATGGGGATACATGGGACTCCATTTTTGCAATGGGGAGAAAAGGGGTGAAAACACAGAGAATACTTTATCTGGTAAGGTCCAAAGTCTTGGTGAAACCACAGGACAATGGAATGGTATGGAGAAACAACAAATGCCCTAAAAATTTTCAAGTTGACAAAATCACATTATTTGTCACAAAACACAGAGGTGCTGTTTTTGAACAGCATAAATAAATAGCAGAACAATGTATATGAGAAAACAATTAGAAGACAGGAAATTTTGGACATTTGAGTGGAAAATCAGACACCATTGAGAAAGGAGGACACTGTTCTTCATCTTCTTTTCTCCTTTGGGTTTTATTATTTGCAACATTTGTTTTGGGATCTTGAGAATTTAGTTTAGCCTTTTGCACTAATTTTGAGAAAACAATAAATAAACTTAATAAATAATAGACTTTATTTATACCCCGCCACCATCTCCCTAATGGGGACTCGGGGCGGCTTACATGAGGCCAAGCCCAACAACACAATACAATAAATAAAATAAAAACGCAAACAGTAACATAATAAATTATATAAGACATTAATATATATATACTAGGGCTGGGCGATTTTGTTCATTAATTTCGTAATTCGTTATTAATTCGTTATTTTTTTTGATAACGAAGCGATATTGAATCATTCAGGAGCAACTAAAAAACGAAACGAATTTTTCAATTTGTTTCGTAATTGTTTCATAATTGTTTCGTAATTGTTTTGAAACCATTTCTACAGGTAGCTACAGGTCCTTTACTGTAGTTTCTACAGTAGCTACAGGTCCTTTCTCTTGAATCTTCAGCATGCATCTGGCAACAAAGTAAGCAAAAACTAGAGAAGAGCTTCTTAAAGTATGGGTTGGGACCCCAAGTGGGGTTGTCATAATTGTGTGTTTGGGTTGACTTACTTTCTTTTCCTGAGCATGTGCACACGCATATCTCTCTGCCTTCCCTCTCCCCACACCTCTTGTGCAGCCTTCTCTGCCTTCTCTTCTCTCTCTTTCTCGCTTGAACTAACGTCTTTCTTCTCCCCTCCCTTGCATCTCTTTGCTTGCTCTTTCCCTTCAATTGTCCTTTCTATACTTGGGACCATGTAAACATTTCATGGTAAAATGGGATTGGGTATTTTAAAAGCTTAATAAGCTCTGAACTAGAAGACTGGCATAAGATTAGAGGCCAATATAGTGGACCGTAAATGGTTAGGGTTGTTGTAGGTTTTTTCGGGCTATATGGCCATGTTCTAGAGGCATTCTATCACTCCTTCCCACCTGTTACTAGTGCAGGTCCTGAACCGGTGCTTGGCTGCTGTGTCAGCCTGGTTGAGGGCAAACAGATTGAAACTGAATCCAGACAAGACAGAGGTACTCCTGGTCAGTCGAAAGGCCGAACAGGGCATAAGGTTACAGCCTGTGTTAGACGGGGATACACTCCACCTGAAAACACAGGTTCGCAGTTTGGGAGTGATCCTGGACTCATCATTGAGCCTTGAACCCCAGGTCTTGGCGGTGGCCGGGAGAGTTTTTGCACAATTAAAGCTTGTGCGCCAGCTGCACCCATTCCTTGGGAAGTCTGACTTGGCCACGGTGGCCCACGCTCTGGTTACATCCCAAATAGACTACTGCAACGCTCTCTACATGGGGTTGCCTTTGAAAACTTCTCGGAAGCTCCAATTAGTCCAGTGGCCGGCAGCCAGGTTGTTAACTGGAGCTCTGTACAGGGAGCATACCAATCCTCTGTTGCGCCAGCTTTACTGGCTGCCGATTAGTTTCCAGGCACAATTCAAAGTACTGATTTTAACCTTTAAAGTCCTGAACGGTTCTGGCCCAGATTACCTGTCCGAACATATCTCCTGCTATGAACCATCACGAAGCTTATGATCATCAGGAGAGGCCCTGCTCTTGGTCCCACCACTCTCGCAAATGCAGTTGGTGGGGACGAGAGACAGAGTCTTCTCAGCAGTGGCCCCCCGTATGTGAAACTCTCTCCCTAAGGACATCAGGTTGGCCACCTCCCTTCTGTCCTTTAGAAGACAACTGAAGACCTGGCTCTGGGGCCAGGCGTTCGATTAGAGGCCAGCGGTAATAGGAAAAGGAAATTTGGATTTTGTGACATGGATTCTCCCGGCTCGGCTTGGTTTTTACTGGCACGTTAATCTATTAATTTATTGTTAAATTTTACTGATGATGTACAATGTTTTAAAATGATTTTATTGTGAATTGTAATTTTTATGGTATGTATGCTGTTAGCATCCTCTGGTGCTCATGAGAGGCCGCGCTGAGTCCCCCTTGTGGGAGAAGGGCGGGATATAAATATTTAAAATAAAATAAATATAAAATAAATAAATGAATAAATAAAATAAATTATCTCCTGATGTATCACCTACATCTATTTAAGTCAACGACTTAAATCTAGAAATAGTTTTCTAAGATCTACAGAGACACTTGCTGGAACACCTCAGCAAGCGAGAGTCCAAAAGTGGCAGGCTCAAACCCAGAACCTCAATCAATGGCTGATACCAAATGAGAGACTCCCCCCTGGGCACACAGAAAACTGGGCAACTTGGAAGGCGCTGAACAGACTGCACTCTGGCACCACGAGATGCAGAGCCAACCTTCAGAAAAGGGGCTACAAAGTGGAATCCACAACATGCGAGTGTGGAGAGGAGCAAACCACTGACCACCTGCTGCAATGCAACCTGAGCCCTGCCACATGCACAATGGAGGACCTTCTTGCAGCAACACCAGAAGCACTCCAAGTGGCCAGATACTGGTCAAAGGACATTTAATCAACTACCAAACTCACAAATTTTGTATTTTGTCTGTTTGTTTGTTTGCTTTGTTCTGTTAGAAATGTAATATAATTGACTGGTTGCCCTGACACGACAAATAAATAATAAATAGGGCTTGTTCTCCAGACCCTTGTGAGGTTTGAGGATGCTTGCCATAGATGCATGAAACGTCAGGAGAGAATGCCTCTAGAACATGGCCATATAGCCTGCAAAAACCTACAACAACCCAGTGATTCCGGCCATGAAAGCCTTCGACAATACATAAATGGTTAATTGTGGCTAATATGCATCTTACAAATCTTGCATGTAAGTAGCAATTTCCTACTCTCAAATCTACATTATTTTAATATCTATATTGTGTTTTCTTTGTTGTTCATTGATTTTCCTCTTATCTCTGGCTGTCCCTTGCCTATTCATCTCTGAGACCTGATGACTTCTTTATTTCCTGGAGTTTAAATAAATCTTTAATTTAAACACACCAGTAAACAGTCTCATGTCTTCTCTAGTTAAACCTCTACTCCACTGAGGCAAATACAGTCTAAAGGTTCTGCTCCCTATGACTGTAATTAAATCGTAATTGAAGAGGGAAACCACCAGTATCATGATGGCAACATCCATTTTAGTCATGCAGTAGCCCATAGGTTTTCAATACCATGCAGAAAAGTCTAATTTTATGGGTGGCAGCCACAGGCCACAACTAGCTTGGCATAAGCCATGCGTGCTGCAGGATCATATTTAAAGTATGAAGTGAGGGAGAAAACTATGCTTGTTCCTATTTAGCATGCCTCCTAACATTTTATGA